CGGCCAATCACTAGTAACTGGTGATGGTAATTTAGTAAAAACCGGTAATAGTCTTAAAATCCGATTTTAACTCCGATTTTTAATATTAAAAGGCGTACACGCGTTTATTTAAATGCGAACAGAGTAATGAAGAATGACATAGCAGTGACACAACTCAAGTTCTAATAAAAAGAACCCATCATTTCAACAAACAACTCATCATTTCAATATTTTATACATGGTTTGGAGCAGTATAACGAATTCACGATAAGTGTTGAATGACTAATATCATAACAACCACCCACTTTGACTAAAACATAAAATTGGCGAATAAATCTTTTGTTTTTTTAACTTATTTATTTTCAAAGTTTACATCTTAAATTACAAACTCATTCAGCCATTTACAAAGTTTCAAATACATTTTCAGTACCATTATAATTGAAATAAATTAATTCTAAGGATAAGCTACTGAAAAACAATATCATCATAAGAAAATACAAATAAAAACTATAATACTTCCTTCCATACTTGTTATAACTAACGCATTTGCATTCCGGTAACTTTCAAGATATTGGCGCCTAATGTTTTATTGTCACCTAAAAAAACTTCAATTACGTTGATTTTGCTTAACAATAAAACTGAAATGAAATAAGATATTAAAAACCGATTAGAAGGGGTTCTTCGTAAATATGTAAACATCATCAAAACATCAATATTTCATTGTTTTGCGTTCGGACAAAATGTAACGAAAGTACCCACTTTCGCAATAAGTCGCGATTGCGGTATAATTTAATTTACATTTTTAACCGACTTCAAGAAAAGGAGGCTCCTAAAACGATTGTACTTTTTTTGTATGTATGGTACGCATTTGTGAACCGATTTTGACGATTCTTTTTTTGTTGGAAAGAGGGTACCGAGGTATTGGTCCTCGCACAAAATCGGATTCTCGCACTTTCCGGTAACCGATTTCAATGAAACTTGACAAACAAATGTAATTCCACGAAGGTCGTTTTTTTTTATAAAAATGTTGTTCTAATATTCGTTTGAGAGGCCTTAACCTCCAAGATTAAAGGTGGATTTGCATGGTTATTCGCGACCAAAAATACAGTCCACGTTACAACTTTCATTACCAGGGGTTGAAAATCTCGTTTGGCAGATCCCAGATCATATGTTAATATCTCAATTTCACTATAAATGTCGATTACGTTAGTTGTGAGAGCAGAATATAATAACACCCTATATTGTTTCCCATACAATACAGTGATCGTCAGCGAGACTACATAAGCCGTCCACACAAAGGCAGTCAGTTTATTTGTCGTCAATCACACCTGACTTGATAGCAAGGCGGGCCAAATAATATACCGTCGCCTTAGAATGAAAACCTCGCATACGCGTTTTCACATAGCTCGTTTTTACTGATTTTTATTGAAGAAAAACTTATTAACTTCTTGTTTAAATATATTATGAAAGTAATATAGTATCTGAAATAGGTATAATTTAAGTAATTAAAATGCTAACTACGAACATTATTGCGTTTTACACCACATTTTTATCATCGTCCTGAAAAACTACATAGAAATCACATACGACGTATTCACTCTAAGACGACGACACGTTTTGTTGCGCTTTGATACAAAAATACACCATTAGTGACTTGTTTAAGTTGGTAGAAAGCGAAGATAATATTGTCAACATATAAATCCTACGTTTACTGTACGCGTGTGTTACGCCCACAGCGCTCATCCATTCACGGCACATCGCATAACGACACGGTCCGTTTCAATTCATCACTGCCGTCTTATGACTTAATGCCTTAGGTGGGGTGCCATAAAAATAGGGCACTCCGTAATTTATGGACCGCTCCCAACACCTTTTACCTTACGAGTTTAAATTTTCATATGAGAAGCCATTACCGAAAAATAAGTGTCCAATTAATGCGTTACGCAAGGACCTTTTTCCAAGAAAGAAGGATATATTGCAGTAAACAATAAAAACAACAATTTTCCTCGTTCCTAACCTAACTGCCAACATGATTATAATAAAAAAAACAATGAATAATGCGGCAGGTATAAATTAGCAGCGGAAACCGATGCCAAAGAAAATATTCGCGACAGGTGGAAAATAAATGAGGGAATGAAACAGTCAAGAACCTGGATGCCTCTGGCACTCGGCCATCAGTCATGCGGACATTAGAGGATAAGGCAAACTTGTACAAATCTTGTGTATCTATACATACTCCATTTAAGGGTTCCAAAGTAGACTTGTATAGTTCATGACCTACGAACTATTAGGAATATATTCCCGACAATGACCAATACGAACTAGTTCGTCTTGCACGGCTTTAATAGTTCATCGTTCTTTTTAGTTCAGTACGAACTAGGAACTGTCTGCGTTGCTATTTCACCTGTCTTTTATTCAGTAGGAATGGTGCTAGCGGGACAAATAGCGATCTTTCATTGCTTTTAGTACAAGTTCGAGTGGGATACACGATTGAACGTTGCCAGCTCTTTCTAAGTCTCTAACATGTATCTACATTATGCGTATATATATAAGCTTACAAAAAAGTACGTGCTCGTATTTTTTGGTAGGTGTGGTAGGTATCTGTATGTATAATATCAACTTACGTGTACGAGTATATGAATTAGTTGTACCTAAATACTGACTTTTAAACACATCATTTTACTAAAATTTTGTTTTGTAAAAAAAAAAGATATTTAGTTACAATGACAGTCTTTAAACCTGTCAAATATGAAGGAAAATCAAATAGTACCGATTCCATACTAATTGTATTTTTAAATATTTAGTACAGTATACCATTGACCTCATAATACTAGAAGTCCGTAGTAGTTAATGTGAATAAAATTACTACTTTCGAGCTTTCGTTCAATGTCCGAGCAAGGACAAGACGAACTAACTAACTAAGGAACTAGATGAACTAGAAGACCGACCTAGTTCAGTTGACCGATTGAATTAACTAGGATCGCTCCCTATAAGGACCGATCAGGCACAAGTCTATTCCAAAGGCCTACAACGGGTTTGGGCGGAATCCTATTGTTCTCGCTTATCATTCTGTCCAGTGCAGAGTATCCCCACATTAAAGGAAACGGTACGGGGGCGCGCTGACTGCAACGAGGTATAATTAAACTTTATACAACATTGTAACGGAAATTACACACTCTTTATATTTGTTTAAATAACATTTTGCAACATCTGGACCATCGCGAAAGAGACGTAACAATAGTCGATATATTTACTATTTGTATTTAATTCGGTCTGTAATTCCGATGGTCCTAAAGCAACAAGTCTAAATATATATCCACGACTCAGACGGACAGTATTATTACTAGAACAAATGTCAGCAAAGTTAATTCTCCATCGCCGTGCGACAATGGACACGGATGGTCATAATTAACACTAGCATTACCAATTTTTTGTTCTTTGAAACATTAGCAGTGCTGGTTCTATGAATTGACAGAAAACGTGTCACATGTTTTATGTTTGAATGAAAAGACGTGAGTCTAACATTGAACATACCTATGTTCAAAAATAGTTACTGTTATGTAAATTTGGTATTTTCAAAGTGCCGTCACGGAATAAATATGCACAAGAGATCTGTATTTCCACGTTCCCAGCATAGTGGAAATCATATGAGCGTAGGATGTGAGGAGATTGGAAATTCTAGCTTATTTGATGCCTTCCACCTGCCTAATATGCTTTTCATTGCGTCTTATAGCTAAAATTCTTGGTATCGCGAAGAAAACTAGTGCAAATGTTTTACTACTATACTATTCATTATTATTAGTGAAACAGATTTGACTCACATTGCATTAAAGTATTCTACAAAAACAACGACACGTAGTTAGAAAATTAATAGAATAGAACGAGTACGGCTGGACAAAAACAAACCGAAACAGTAAAATTTGCTAACTGAGGTAATATATTATACATATTATATTATGAGGTAGTATATTTATAAAAAAATGATGGTGCAGTAAGAAACGTAGGGTGTGTTAAGATCGTGGTAAGTGGAGACCTCCGCTTATTAGGAGAAAAGTGGTACCCATATACATTTGTATAAAAAAATATTACGATATGCACCATTTTAGAGGCATTGTCCTGGAGCTAATAATATCAGTGAATAATATCGCTGGCGGAGAATCGTCTTTCTATTTGCATTTGGCAAAATTAGCAATCAGCTCTCGCGCAGGTGTAACGGCGGCTAATTAATGCGAAACTGAGTTATGAATGGAAATGAAAAAATATCTCGTTCACGTACAAAGTGTTTCTTTCGGCTGATTAGAACGCTTTCGGAAAATTAGCTCTTTGAAAAGTTGAGTTGTTTCTTTTGCATATCTTATTCAAGACGCAATAAGAAAGATTAAACGTCTTTACAAATAAAATCGTCATTCTTTTTACAACTTCTTAAAACTGTAAGTAAAATCTAAATAAGTAAGGTACAAATAATGCTGTGCACCGACCAAATGATACCATGAGAAATGTGGCAACCAATGCCCGGAGGCAAGCTTGCTGCGGTGAACCACAATATAGCTATTTTAGCTCTAAGTGATGCAATGTGGAGTCCTATGGAACATATTGATCAGAGGTTCTCGAGTCTCTGTACTACAACCGGCGGCATATTACGAGATTGAACCGTGGCATCAGCCAGATAGTTGAAAACTTTTTGAGTGAATTGCAAGAATAGTTTTGAGAGCTAAAACTTCTGTCTCACCCCATGACTACGAAATTCCTGGTTGAATTTCGTCAGCCGGCCAAAGCTATTCAGCAAATTATATTGGATTCGTAATAAATTTGAGAAACAATTCCTGAAATATGCGTTTGTTCAGATAGAAACATGTAGATAGAGGCTGAAAATCTATTAGAAGTCGCATTTTATTGGTCAAATGCGACGATATTTCATTCTGTTGAGAATAATAAACATTTTTTAATGCAATAAAAACGTAAAATGTTTTTTAACCGATTCTTTCGTTGAATCCTTTAACTATTATATGATATTATGTTACCTGAGCGATTTCCTTCCTGGTACAGCAGAAATTGATGAAGGTTACGTTGACGAAGTCGGCGCCATAGCATATGGTGACGGTTTTCTCCTCGAGCGAGCCTTGAGATCCGATCAGGACCACGTTCCGGATCTTTGGGTCCTAGAACAAAAAAGAAATAGTCAAGGAAAAATTAGGTAATTTTTCAAAACTAAATTACGGGACTTGTTTTGAAGGTGAAGTAAAACATTGTAAGAATTCCTGCATGTCAGATATTGGTCACAAGTCTCCAACTCACTTTGGGCAGCCCCCAAGTGCGGTGTCGTAATGCGGAGGGGAGAATGTGGGCGAAATTATTAGTATTAGTTAAATTCTGACGTAATATTTTTTATTTTTTACAATGATATATATACTATTTTATTAATTAATCAATTTTAATATTATTTTTTAAATATTGCAAATGATTTTATGCAATTTAGGTCAATTAAGAAAATGAATTCGATTTCATTTTATTGTAATCCTTATTTTTAATTTTTCAGACATACGGAAATATTCACAAATAATATGCTAATATATATATATATACTAGCATTGTGTGCGTCCGTACAGGGCGCACGGCGGGCGTGCACACATATAAGCGCTGTTACTTTGTATGGAGTTACCATATACCGTTGTCTTATTATACCATGCCTTGGAGATCATTTCCCATCATGTCTAAAAAAACTGAAATTTTAAAATTAATGTAAACTAAAATAAAATAACAATACATTTTCTTAGTAGTATATAGATTGTTTCTGATGCTGTAACAATCTGTTATTTGTTTAGTTCAACACGAATAAAAATATAATAATAAGTGCTAGTACATGAAGTGTTATACCGAGCGTCTCTACCGTGATCGCTTATTGTGTCTCTTATATTACAACTTTTCAGACAGCAGGTGACGCCTGAAAATAGGCTTGTAACAGTTCACTTTACAAGGGTCTAAAGTTGTTCATAAAACAGATTGATTTTACTCATTACCGACTAAAAGATGGTAATAATCTATAATCTCAGTACAGAGTACTAAAAAAACCGACATGAGAAGTACGTGGAATTACATATAATTACCAAGTTTTATTGAAATTGGTTACAGGAAAGTGAGCAAACCCGGATTCATCCCCTAGTTCGCCACTATACGGGACTTGACACAGGAGATAATAAAAATCGGTTCTCACTATTCAAGGTATATTGAGAGAGAAAACCGCCTTGAAATGGAGAATAGCAAAATCAACCATTAAAATAATTGCTCCTTATAAAATTTAGGCGCTATTATTAAAATTGAATCGTCATGCGTGAACCCTTAGAGGGGGATGATTTTCTTCAAAATTAAATGAGACCACTATGGAGGTGTCCTCTTTCCAACAAAAAAAGAATCATGAAAATCGGTTCACAAATACCAGAGTTATCGCGTAACATACATAAAAAAACATACAGTCGAATTGAGAACCTTCTCCTTTTTTGAAGTCGGTTAAAAATAAACTTCAATGCTCAAAAACAAATTGAAACACTGTAACAGGTAACATAGAGTAAACTTCACCGCTGCTTCGCGACCGATCAAAATCTACGGTCAATTCTCATAGCAACAGTAATCCATGTCAGATGGCTTCTGTTTGTTCGACAAACCTAGAATGAGCTCAGACATACATAAATTTGACAACCTCGGTGGCCCAACGGTTCATACTGTGGGCGCTGGTTGAGGAGGTCCCGGGTTGGATTCCCGATAGGACCAAATTAGAAAATTACCTTTTCTAAATTGGTTCTGGTCTGGTTGTTCTGCGAAGTGCCCCAAAGTGAATACCGTTGCTCTGGTACTCATAGTACAAGAAATTCCCTAGTTTGAGACCAGGCAATTGGTGTGATTGTCTGGCATATTATTATTGACTGACTGATTGAATGACTGCCTCCGTGGCCGAACGGTTACCATGCCGGACTGCCACGCAGAGGTCCCAGGTTCGATTCCCGGGCCGGGAGAAATATTTATATGGCCTACATTTATTTCTCTCGTGAGTTTGGGTGTAATTTGTGGTTGTCTATGTGTCTGTCCATAGCACCCGCGACACAGGGTTTCCCTAGTGCGGGGGTATGTTGAGTATGTGCGTTATTATTATTATTATTATTATATAATTAAGCAGAGCTCCTAGTGAGAGAGTTCATCAAGGGAAGTACTGCCACCTTACCTATTTCTTAATGTAAGCAATACTGCGTTCCGGTTTTGTAGGGACATAGGACATATCAACTTCTGTCTCAGGGTGACGGGCGCAGTGACCCTAAGATCTTTGCAATTTTTAGCTGTGAGTGGAACTGCAACTGTTATGCATAGGCGTGACGCTTGCAAACAGGCGCACGATTTATTTGTCCTGTCTCTTGGTGACATAAAAAAAAGTTTTCCAATTCTTACTTGAAAACAAAAACAAATAAATTCATGTAACATTTTACATTAGGGCCTTTAGGGCGCATTTATTTACCACGAATTACATCGCACTCACCCCGCATTGCCGCCGCACAGCAACCGCGTGCGTCTAAGTGTCATGGCAAAATACGCTCTATTTGTTTAATATTTACGTTTCAACTTAAATGAGCGTTCCAGTCACGCGGGCGAGTCTGGCTTGATTTTGGTCTACACGGCGGTGCGTGCGGCTGCCCGCCGTGCGGTGGCCAGGCGGTTGTATTGTTCAGAGGAATTTGAATGTTGTTGCCTAGTAATAGAATTCAGATTCGCCATTAACGTACATGAAGGCGTGTTAGGTAACTGGGCGATCGCCGCGCGGCGGCCGCACGGGAACTTTCGCCTTGTGTATGAACTGGGGGCTTATAATCCCATCAGAGAATAAACATGTCTCCATATTCTTTCACAATGTGCAAAGTTTTTAAAGTTTGAATAAAAGAATTTCGAGTCAAAAGGAAATTATCCGAGTTAGTATACTTTTGTATTTTCCTCTCTTTTAAATCGAGTTTAAATTTTAGAAAAGGCCGCAAGGGGAATGCGACCGCATAGAGCACGCTGTATGATTTTCGAGACAATAGCCACTAGAGGTTCAGCCGTGTGCACATAGCTCTACACGAGATTGAAAATGCCGACGGTTCACTCAATGCTGTTTGTTTAGCCACTAAGCAGAACACAATTTATCGGGCAGTCGGACTGCCCTCCCGACAAATTGGACTCTGCAGGGACCTATAAACAGAGAACGCACGAATGCCGTAATATCTGTTTTTATTACTAATATTACACGGGATACCGCCCGCTAGAAGTACATACAAATACAACCACAATGTTTTCGATGGGAACATTTATGTTTTGAACACGCCCATAAAGGAACTATACAATGAAAATGACTACTTGACTAAAAGTGTCGAAATATAAAATCCAACAAACTATGTAATGTAGTAGAAGTAGTAATAATAATAACGCACACACTCATAGCCCCGCACTAAAGAAACCCTGTTTGCAGGTGCCAAGGACACACCACATAGTCAACAACAAATTGCGCCCAAATTCACGCGAGAAATAAATATAGGCGTCTCAAATATTTCTCCCGGCCCGGGAATAGAACCCGGGACCTCTGGGTGGCTGTCCAGCACGTAACCGTTCGGTCACATAGGCAGTTATTGCCAAAGGGGCAATAAGTGAAATTGTATTTGGAAGCTAAATAAAACTATGCGAAAGTGAATTCAAATTCAAGTATGTAACTTTTGACCGTTCAACCCTATTCAATTTCGCAGACAAACGGGAATGATAGCGCGACGTGCTGCCCTGTGTACAATCGTTATTTAAAAAGCTGTAGCAATATCGTAATAAAGTACAGACAGCACCACATAAAACTACACATTAAGGGCGCGTTCCCATTAAGTCGTGATAACAGATAGTCGTTCAGTGTAAATGTCGTGACTTGTATATTTAAATGAAGGTTGTCGCACATAGAACGACACGATTAACTGTCGTACACGACTATTTGACATACGACAACAGACAGTCGTGACAATGAGAAGAGCTAGAACGGCAGTCGTCTGACGATACATAAAACGTCACGCTAAAAATGTGACGACAGTCTGTCGTGCGAACGACAGAGCGGCGGCCGTGAACCGATAAATTGTCGTCACGATGTAGTGAGAACAGCCAGACACGACAGTCGGTCAACAATAAAATAACGTCCACGACACAGTCACGACATATAGTCGTGATATGGGAACAGGCCAGACGCGACAGTCGTCCAACGATAAATAAAACGTTACGGCATAATGGGAACGTGTCCTAACGGATTTTGTTCCGTTGCACTGGAGGCTATATTCGCACAACAGTGTACAATTGACCGTACTACGTATGTGTACTAAGTAACGAAAGACGTTTATGGCCGTATTCACCAGTTGAAGGCTTTTGGTCGATTTCAATTTCACCTCGTCGAATTAGTGAGTATGACAGGCAGAAATGTAACCGCGGAATGGATTTTAGTGCCTGCCTACTTAACATCCGGCAGCATTTCCAAACGGGTAAATGTAATTACGGACCGGCGCGAGTCAGCCCCGCGGGATCTACGCATTAAAGGACTGAAAACCCGGGTCAACACGAGCACATCACGTTCGGGATCAACAACAAACAAGATTTATTTGTAATCATAATTTGAAAACTACTATTTCAAATAATCGAGAAGCTAAGTAGCAGTAGAGCTCCTTGTGGAAGAGTTCATCCAGGGAATTTCTACCACCTTACATATTTCTGCCGCCAAGCAGTAATTTATTTATAAATTATATTATAAAAAAAAACTCTGATTGGACGAATTCATTATTAATTTATCTGAAACATCGTACAGGTTACCTCATTTGCCAAGCGGTTCTTGGTTAAATCGGATTAATGGATCTACTCACGTTCTCCATCCGATATCCGTCCGAAACAATTACTGTCTAATAAGTAATCATCGTCATCATTTCAGACAAAAGATGTCCACTGCTGAACATAGACCTCCCCCATGAATGCCACAACGATGTGGGTGGCCGCCCACGCCGTGTCTACCAATACGCGGTCGCCACTCAACAACTCTTCGGCCCCATCGGCAATCTGTTCTGCGAGCGATGTGCCCTGCCCATTGCCAATTAAGTTTTGCAATTCTTAGGGCTATGTCGGTTCCTCT